TGGGAAGAAATTCTTCCCTGTAAGGGTGCTGAGGCACTGGCACAGGTTACCCAGGAAAGTTGTGGCTACCTCATCCCTGGAAGTGTTCCAGGCCAGGTTGGATGGGGCTTGGAGCAACCTAGGCTCGTGGAAGGTGTCCCTGCCCATGGCAGGGAGGTTATGGCTGGATGATCTTTGAGGCCCCTTCCCACCCAAAGCATTCCAGGATTCTGTGAGTAGGGGAAAACAGAACGCCAGGAACTGGAAAGATGATGTTTTTGGAAGTTTTGCAGCACCTGTGTGATGACCAGCATGAAGGACTCACCTGCAGCTGGGTGTACTGACAGCTCCCCATCAGGCACTCTGGGAAGAGGAAGCTGGGATTGCTGGGCCATCTGAGCAGGGGTTAAGGAACACAGGAGAATCCAATCTGGAGAGCTTGGAGAGCTAGTCTGGAAGCTGACATGTCTCCCATTTGTGGGGGGGAGGAGAGACGATTAAGCTGCTCTTTATACAAGTCATTATTGTGTAATAAGATTTATCCATATCAGAACAAAATCATTAGTATATCTAATCCCCAACTCTCTGAATCCTGTTACCTTCCAAATCTCCCAGCATCCCACCCCACCAAGGCAAACTCTGACAGCTCAGGGGCTTAAAGTCACCACCTCAAATCCTTTACGGTGCACCTAAATGCAATGGATTCTGTGAGATCATGAAATTCCCACAAATCCCACTAATGCCAACCACCTCACAGCTTTGTCTTTGAAATCTGGGAGAGGAAAATAACTTTGGAACAGCAGGAGGCTTGGTGGCAGTGTGTGCACAGTCAAGGATACAGGAGAGGCAGAAAATCAGCCACTATTGCAGTGATGAGGTGAGGCCAGTTCAAGCTTGTCTCAGCCAAGGAGGTGTTTGCTTGCAGGAAGAGTCGGGATACGATGTGTTTTCTGGCCACTTCCTGAAAGAAGAGCTCCACAATTGTCTGAGGGCCGGATACTAGAAGTGCAAATGAAAGGAGGAGTGAGGAGAAGGCCCTCAGCACACCCCAGGGTTTCCAACCCGTGCTGTGCCCATCAGCCCAAACAGCACAGATTAAGTCAGGGCAAAACCAAAGCATGTTCAACCCTCTGACTTGTTGGGTTTGGATTCCTCTTGCCGTCGGATTATGTCAGAGGGAGCAGCAGGAGATCAAAGAGCCCCAGCCTGCAGTGTTTATTAACCACAGCTCAATTAAAGCACACAGAAAAAGGGCTGTGCTCTCTCTCCAGTTGTTATTCCCAACCCAGCTGCAGCTTTCCAGCACGACAGGGCTGGGGGAGTGCTGATCTGGCTGTTCAAATACCTCATGCCAGCACCCCAAAAATCTCTCCTCACTGACTGTCTCAACGCCTCTCCCTGAGCTGCTACCTCCTTCCCTACGTTTCACATATTTTTCCCAAAGAACAGTGGCCAAACAGGCCTTTCCTCATGAGCCAGCCAAGAAATAACCCACGGCACTGGCACACACAAAGGGTGTTTTCACCCTCCCTGACATTTACAGCTGCCTCCTGCAGCTAGACTCGCCGTGAGGGAGAGCTCAGAACTGGAGATCACAGATGTCAGAAAGTGGAGGAAGCTCTTCCCCAGCTCCCATGTAGCACTGCTGGCTGTTTATCCCTGATTTTCCCAGCTCCCTCGGAGGTATCTCAGCCTCCAAGTGCAGACAGGCTCTTACCTGTGTGTTCCCTCCATCCCTGCTCACCTCCTCCCTCTCTAACCACCTCAAGGCACACATCCCCCTAATCAAACTGCCTTGTAGTATCCCCCAAAACACTAACCCAAAACTCAAATCTTGGAAGCTAAACTCTAAAAATATGAACCAAGTATCAGTTGCAAATTCCCCTTGAGGGGGCTGTGAGCCATTCTCACAGCTGAGCTGCAAAGGGTTGGGAGCACAATGTTTTGGGGAGATATTTCTACATTTTCATGTTTCCCTGAGCAGCTGCTGCTCCTGGTTGCTATGGGATAAAGGCTGGAAAACAGGGCAGCTTGGATGGAGCTCTGAGCAACTTGGGCTAGTGGAAAGTGCTCCCTGTCCAGTGAAACTGAATGAGCTTTAAGGTCCTTCCAATCCAAAGCACTCCAGGATTCCATGATTCTATGCAGACCTGGTCTGAACCACTACAGCCACTGTAAGGTGCATGAGAGGTGAGTCTGGCTGATGCTACTGAGGTCAGAGTGAATAATTTTTGGCTGAGTGAGGCCTTCCCATCCTCAGGCTGAGAGTAGTATCTAAGCCCAACTCTCCAGGATCCTTTGCTGTTGGTATTCTATTGTGGACAGCCTGACAAACATCCCCACTTAAAGCAGGATCATTCAACCACAAAGTCCATTAGCTCTCTGCATAAAGCACTTCCCTCAGGTGGAAGAGACAAGGATAAACAACAGCAAAGGAGAGTTGATGATCCGTGGACACCTTACCTAGTTTGTGTGGTGTCAGAGTGGTGGTGTCTGCTAACTCCAACACGGAGAGATGCTGCAGATTAGATTCCCTAGGGAAGAAAGGAGCCATCAGTGAAGAGACAACAAAACGCCTCCTGCTTTAATTGTGCTCATTGTTCACCTCCCACAGAGCACAGAACAGCGAGGCCTCGGCAGGGCAGATTTAGCACAAAGCAAAGAGTCAGCTCAGAACATGGAAAAGGGGGGGAAAAAAAAACCCTCCCCAGCACTCCTGGAGCCATACTCCCACAGTAACCAGCAGTTTTCCATACCAAGAAGGGCATTCCAGGTAGATTTAGGAGGAATCTACACAGACTTACAGCGTGTCCACAGGGACGTCGGAGGCCAGGCACTGGCTCGCCCACCGGATCAGGTAGTAGGAGAGCAGCAGGGGAGAGGTGCGGTGCAGCAGCTCCTGCTGGGACTGGAAGAGCTGTCCTCCTCCCAAAACCATCTGCAAGGAAAGCACAGGGCTTGGCACACTTGGAGCAGTGTCAGTACAAGGGGTTGCCCAGTGAGGTTTGTGTGGGGCCCAGCTCCTCCCTCCTCTGGGAACACCAACATGGTCAGTAGCCTGGTAGGTAACTCAGCCCACCCAGGTGACCAGCAGGACTCTTGCACAGGTTGCCCAGAGAAGCTGTGACTGCTCCATCCCTGGAAGTGTTGGACAAGGCTTGGAGCAACCTGGTCTAGTGGAAAATGCCCCTGCCTATAGCAGGGAGGTGGGACTTGAAGGTCCCTTCCAACCCAAACCATTCCAGGACTCTTATCCCTGAGAGTGAAACCAAGGCTTTGCTGCAGAGACCACCTCAGGGTCTCCAGCCAAGACGAGGAGAAAAAGAAATCCATGATTTGGAAAGACACAAGTGCATCAAGGTGGGAAAGCAGCAAGTCACATGCCTTGTGGTCTGGGAGAGCTTGGCTCCAGAGGGCACCTTGCAATGTACCTTAAATGCTTCCAGGACAACCTTTATCCAGGAAAAAGGGATTTATTTTCAACCAGGAAACTCCTGCAGTAATGCTTCTGAGTAAATAATACTGGTTTAAACAATACTGTCCTAGTCCAGGGACTTGTTCCACAACCCTGCATCCACCCTAACCACCAGCCCTGTCCCTCACATGGCCTCAGGCCTGATGGGACAGACCCAGACCAGCCCACACAGCACTCCAAACACAGCTACCACCACGGGGGCTGTTTGCTCCGGCTGGAGCAGCTTCTAAAGGGCTGAAACCACAGCCCTGGAATGTGCTGCCAGAGAACAGAGCTGCCATGGTGGTGGGACTGGGATGGGGATAGATGGGAGAGCTGTATGTGTGCTGCTTCAGACAGGAGGTTGGAATCCATGCCCCCCTCCCACAAATAAAGCTTTGCTTCCTGCTTCCTGGATGCTCAGCATGGAATAAAGGGAATTAGGCTGCTTTGCTTAGGCAGATAAAAGCAGCTGGAGGAGAACACAGGACTTGCCCAAGCCTGGGGCTAAGTCCAACAGCCTCTGGGTTCTTTGTGGGAAGAGACAGCTCAGGCTGGCACCAGCAGAACTCCAGCTCCCCAGGTTCAAAGAGCAGCTCCAGAGCCTGTACTCACAGGGTCTCCAAGGCGCAGCAGCAGCTGCTGGAGGATGAGCAGGTCCCGGCAGATGAGGAAGCGGATGGAGGAGATCTTTCCCACCCCCCAGCACACCACGTGGGCTGCGGAGCTGCTGCCGTACAGCTGCGACAGGTTCATCCGCAGCAACGTGTGAGGGGCTGCAAGGCAAAGGCACCCGGGTCAGGGCAGGGACCAGGCAGGCAAGAACACTTCCCAGGAGAAGGATGCTTCCTGGTGTTTCCCAAATGGTGCCACAGAGCCTTCACCTCTTTCCATGTCGGCGTCGGTCTCGTAGTCCATCTCTCGGATAAGCAATCCGATGGCATGGATGGGGTTTCGGATCTCCTGGAGTTTGCTGTGGATATCCTCCATCACGTTTTCCCTGCAAAATCACAAAGATCATCATCGTGATCAGCAGTGTGAGATTCCAGCTGAAGAGGGCTCCCTTCCCTCCCTCACAGTCCCTTCCAGGGAGGATCAGTATCTGATCAGCCTGGACATTCCTGATGGGAATCCTCCTCAGCTGACTTGGGAGTTTTATTACAGAGCCTGAAGGGACCAATCTGTTTATTCCACTCCCTCAGGCTCCCAGGAAATAACAGGCACATAGCTGGCATTCCGGGGGGGGAATAATTTCAGGTTAGCACAGGAACCACACTTGGCCAAGGCTCTGACCCTGTGGCTGCAGGCACTTCTTTCCACACCTAGCAGGATTTTGCCCCTCTCCTGCTCTCTAGATCACTTGAGAATCACCAAAATGTATTTTCTGGGGGGATTCTGGATGGAAGATCCTGATAAGGACACCAAACCACTCTTCCTCTGTGGAAGTCTCCTGCAGCACAGGGAGAGGAGCCCACACATCTCCAACGCCCTTGGATGTCAATCAAGGATGGCTCAGGGCAATCCCAGCTCAGCCATCCTGAGAAGCTTCTGGGAAACACATCTCCTTACGTGTCATTAGCTATCAAGTCCTCCAGGATCTGCTCTGCAGCCTTTTCTGGAGGCTGGAGGCGGGAGCAAGCCATTTCCATGATGAATGCCATTTCCATGGAAATTGATTCTCCGATCAGGCGAAGGCACTGGACAAGACAGACAACATCACGAGACATCTCCAAATCTGCAATGAAAGAACCTAACTGTGTATTTTCCAAGAGATTTCAAAGGGAAGGTGGGAGGACCATGCAAAAACCAGTTAGTTCAGCTCCCGCCACCAGTAACAGCAGTTACTGGTCCCAGTTCCCCATGCCAAACCCTTCCCTGTTACCAATGAAGCCAAACTAAAGCTCAGGAGTTGTTAAGGGAAAGGTTTGGGCTTTATTATTTGGAAAATAAAAAGTGATGTAACAGTAAAACAATGAAATTCCCTCTAAGGGATTTTTTTCCAGCCACAGGTTCAAAGGAAATAATTAGTGCAAAAAGAAATATCCCAGAGAAAACATCTCAGCTTGGCTCTGTAATCCTCTATGGATGAGATTTGAAATGAAATCCCAGTTTTTGAGACTGTGTCTGTTTCAAACTGTCAGGGCAGGCATTGCTGGGGCTCCCAGGCCCAGCCCAGGCCTCCAGCATTCCTTCCCTCCACTCCACAAATAGCCCAAACCAAATGGATGACGATTCTACTCTATAAAAATACATAAAAATCGCTGGAGCATGAAAGTGGAACTTAGGTAATATTTTCCACTGCCTTTTTCCTAGTGAAATGGCATTCCAGGGCCAGCAAAGCACAGAGGGCACAGTGGTGACAATATTAATGCCAGGTTTTCCGTGTTCTGGTGTTTACTTCCCAGAGACAAGGAACAGCACAGCCTCTCTCCTTCCACAGCTTGTGTGAAAACAATTCATAAATCCTGGAACAGTTTGGGTGGGAAGGGATTTTATCCAATTCCAACCCTCCTACCATGGGCAGGGACACCTTCCACCTGGGTTGCTCCAAGCCCTGTTCAACATGGCCTTGAACACTTCCAGGGATGAGGCATCCATAGCTTCTCTGGGCAACCTGTGCCAATGCCTCACCACCCTCACAGGGAAGAATTTTTCCCAACCCCAAGCCACTCCATGATTCCATCTGCAGCCTTGACACCATTTTCCAATTCCTGTTGTGAGCACAGTGGCAGCTTTCACAAAATAATCTCCCTACAAACCCCAAATAAAACAACATCCATGCAACTACACAGTCAGGAGCACTCCCACATCCGTCCCTGCCACATGGTGGCTCAGCCTCCAACAGGGAAAAGAATTCCATGCTTCCTCACCTTCAAAGATGGCAGCGTCATCCTCAGTCAGGAGGTGCTCGTTGGAGAGGAGATAGAGATGATCCACCAAGGAGCAGGGCACGAGGAAGGACACGGAGCCCTAAAAGGTGAGGAGAAAATTCCCTGAGCTCCCCAAATCCTTTGGAGGCACTTCTCCAGGGAGCCTCCACACCTCCCAGCCTCACCTTCTTCAGCAGGCACACCATGCTGGTGTAGGGGTTCAGGTGCAGGGCCAGGGGCCGGGACAGTGCCTCCTGGTACTGAAGGCAGCAGGCATAGAACTTGGACCAGAATTCCACCTGGAGCTGACAGAACTCCTCCGGGGAACACTCGTATTCCGTCACGCTGCCCTGGAACTAGCGGGAGCAAAACAAGGCTTCAGGTGGGGAACCGGAGGGAAAAGTGGGAGCGTTCAGGTTGTTGTCCTGTCCCTCATGACGTGAGCCACATCTTTACACAGTTCAGGTGTACAGACACCAGTTTCAGTCTCTTTTCCCCATAACTTGCCTGTCACAGTTCGTTTTCTACAGAGCAAACCACACAGCAACAGGAGCAAACCCAAAAAGAACCATCAAGAAGTGCCAACGATATCCCTCCCCAAAAAGGGCAATACTGCAGTTCTCTTTAAAAAATGCACAAAAATTGCTACAGAGGACACAACCCCCTTTTTTTGGTCAACTTTCAAGTGATATTTTAAGCAGTCTCCAGGATGAGCTGCAGGTAGAAGGACTGCTGGGTTAAAGAATCAGGATAGCAGAGTAAAATAGGGAGAAACAGGATAACATGAGGGAAATTCAGACCCAAAATGACAGGGTGATCTTTCAGGTAGGTCTTCTAACAATTAGCCTTTGGATTATTTGGAAGTTAATCCCCCAACTCTGGATTCCAAAATGCTGGGCAACAGGTCTGTGTGGTGGTAGCCATGGGCACCCAGGGAGCAGAGACAGCAGAAGACCCAAAGAGACTCCAAACAAACAAGAGGGAATGGAAAATCCAGGCAGGAAGGATGAGGATCTGTGCGTGTTTAAAAAGTCACATAATTCCTTTTGGAGAAATAAAGGACAAAACAAGCCCTGGGGTCACTCTGCACCTTGTTTGCCTTCACACCACGTACAACAAAATATCCCAGGAGGAAAATCCACCTCACCTCATTTTCCACAGCTAAGGTGACCTCTTTCCTTAACTCATCCCATGTCAGATCCATGTGCCTCTCAGCTCCTTGAGAAAAGATCTGAAAAGCAGCACAGGAAACTTGGATCTTAAAGCATTATCAAAGCCTCCCTGAAGGTTCAAGCAGGACTGAGGGAGGTAAAGCAGCATAAGGGCATCAGCCAGTGCTTTGCAGGATGGAAGTGTTAAAAAACAGGCCTGGCTGCTAAATTTGGGATACATGGACACATGGCAGTGTGGAGACACCATCCCTGGAGGGATTTCAAAGCCATGTGAATGTGGCACTTGGGGACATGGCTAATGGTGGCCATGGCACTGCTGGGGGAACTGTTGAGCTCCACAGTCTCAGAGCACTTTTCCAATTTATTCCATGACAAATCCTGACAAACAGCATCACAGTGGGGCTGAGAGTCTCTGTTCATCTGGGCTAAAGCAGCGGGAATAAAAACAAGCTCAGCAACCTGCTGTGCTATCCAAGGAGAGAAGAATCCTCTGTAAACCACGTTCCGCCTCCGGCTATCAGCACACATCGACTGAAGCGTGGCCCAACAGCCACCAACCTGCTTCAGTGACTCCCAACAGATCTGCACACTACTCAAGGCCAACTGGGGCCTGCCAAGAGCTCCAAGGAATCCTGCTGCCTCCCATCTAAACAGCCAGGAAGATGTGGAACAGGAAGCATCCCAAAATCCCTCTCACTAACCTGCAAGGCCTTCTGGATAGCT